GAGGTCAGGGGCCAAGGTAATATTTTAGGGTCGGGAGGTCAGGGGCCAAGGTAATCTCTTAGGGTCGAGAGGTCAGGGGTGAAGGTCACGGCTTTGAATATGACACCATCTGAGGCGAAGAACGAGGTGTTGATGACGGACTGGGGACCTGTCGGAGGAGGTGCTGGGGTAGAATAGTGGGCACGGGGGGAGGTGCTGGGGTAGAATAAATGGGCATGGGGGGTGCTGGGGTAGAATAGATGGGCACGGGGGGGTGCCTGGGGTGGGAATGGTGGGCTCAGGGGAGGTGCTGGGGTGGGAATGTAGTGGGCACGGGGGGAGGAGGTGCACAGGGGGTGGGAATGGTGGGCACAGGGGAGGGAGGGGGGAGGGAGGGGGGAGGGAGTGGGAGGGGGGGAGGCACAGGCAATATTGAGGCGACGGTATAGGATGATCAGCTCTGTTTGGTGGGTCGTTATACATCCTCATCGTGGACCAATAAACCACTTTAACACCTTAATTAACTCATTAGTGGTAATTAATGTATCATCACAGTTGGCCGAAGAGTGTGAGTGACGGCAAAGGGGAATGAGTGACGGGAATGAGTAATGGCTGGAGGGTGTGAGTGACGGTTAAAGAAGTGAGTGACGGCTGAAGGGTGAGTAATGGCTGAGAGGAGTGACTGATGGCTGAGGGGTGTGAGTGACGGTTGAAGGGTGTGAGTGACGGCTGAGGTGAGTGAGTGACGGTTGACGGGTATTGAGTGACGGTTGAGGGGTGTGAGGGACGGCTGAGGGGTGTGAGTGGCAGCTGAAGGGAATGGATGGCAGCTGAGGAGTGTGGGTGACGGCTAAAGTGAATGAGTGACGGCTGAAGGGAATGATTGACGGCTGAGGAGTGAATGATGGCTGAGGGGAGTGAGTGACGGTTGAGGGCGAGGACGGTTGATGGGTTTGAGTGACGGCTGAGGGGAGGAGTGAATGGCTGAGGGGTGGAGGACGACGACTGAAGGGGTGTAAGTGACGGCTGAGGGGTGAGTGACGGTTGAAGTTAGTGAGTGACGGCTAAGGAGTGGTTACCGCTAAGGGAGTGAGTGAAGGCTGAGGGGCTTGGAGGACGGCTGAGGGGAGGAGGACGGTGAGGGTGTGGAGGACGGTTGAAGGGGAGTGGAGTGATGGCTAAGGGAGTGAGTGACGGCGGAGGGGTGAGTGAAGGCTGAGGGGTCTGGAGGACGACTGAGGGGTCTGAGTGACGGCTGAGGGGTGAGTAACGGTTGAAGGAGGAGGACGGCTAAGGGAGTGAGTGACGGCTAAGGGAGGAATGACGGAGAGTGAGTGACGGCTGAGGAGAGACTTGCTGAGGAGTGAGTGATTATTGAGGGGGGAGGAATGATGGCTGAGGGGAGGACAGCTGAGATGAGTGAGTGAGGGCTGAGGAAGTAGAGTGACGGCTCAGGGAATGAGTGACAGCTAAAGGAGTGAGTGACGGCTCAGGGGAGTGAGTGACGGCTAAGGGAGTGCATGACGGCTGAGGAGAGTGAGTGACGGCTGAGGAGTAAGTGACGGCTGAGGGGAGTGAGTGACGGCTGAGGAGAGTGAGTAACGGCTGAGAAGAGTGAGTAATAGAGGTAGTAAGAGGTCAAAGGTCGTGTTGGCGTAATTATGCTGTCACTTACATCTTCGTGACAGCAGTAATGTTGTCAGCTGAAGGTCGCCGCTATATTTCGTCAGCTTTAGATGTCAGGAGATGAAGACATTATTAAATTTGCTGATGCCCAAGTCAGAAGTGGCCGTTGTCAGCACGAGTTAAAGGTGTCAGGAGATAATCATACTGTTTAGATACTTATTCTGTTGTCAGTGCTTATTGCAGGTGTCAGTAAGGTATGGATAAACACACTGACTGACATCTAGTTTTGAGTTTGCGTTGTCAGCACTAACTGAAGCTGACAAAAAAGACTGTTTAAGGGTAATATTTCTGCCTTTATCACAGACACACAGACCAGCGAGAGATATTCGTTCGTGTGTTTGTTGTTGGACAGCACCACGTGTTTCACTTACAGAGCCTCATACATGGTGGGGTAGTTGTACAGTATATTGGCCCAGTGTTTCCTTTCTCCTGGCTCTAGTTAAAGCTTTTGTGAACAAACTCTTCCTTAGTGTCTCTGCATCTAATGTTACTTATATAACTAATGAGTGATGGTCTTTTCAGTAACCTAGTATTAGTATTATTGTTATTATTATTGTTATTATTATTATTATTATTGTTAGTATTATTATTATTTATTTTTATTTATTTTTTGTTGATGTAAGTGTGTTGGGGGAGTGTGTTGATATGAGTGTGTTGGAGGGAGTGTGATAATGTGAGTGTGTTGGAGGAAGTGTGCTGATGTGAGTGTGTTGGAGGGAGTGTGCTGATGTGAGTGTGTTGGAGAGAGTGTGTTGATGTGAGTGTGTGAAAAGGAAGTGTGCTGATGTGAGTGTGTTGGAGGAAGTGTGCTGATGTGAGTGTGTTGGAGGGAGAATGGTGATGTGAGTGTGTTGGAGGGAGCGTGTTGGGGGAAGTGTGCTGATGTGAGTGTGTTGGAGAGAGTGTGTTGGAGGGTGTGTGCTGATGTGAGTGTGTTGGAGGGGGTGTACCGTAGGGGGTGTTGGGCGGACTGTTGGAGGGAGTGTGTCGGAGGGAGTGTTGGAGAGACCTGCCAACTATCCCTGACGGCCGTTTTGTCTGTCGGGTGAAGATAATGTTATGTGGGTTGTGGGGAGAGTAGGACCCATCGTAACCTTGAGCCTCCTCTTGAAGGTGAGAGAGAGGGAGAGTGAAACAGGGAGGGAGAGGGTTGGTGAGAGAAAGAGAATAAGAGAGAGGGGAAGAAGGGGGGAAATATAGGAAGGGGAGGAAGGGAAGGGATGAAAGGAAGGAGGTAGGGAAGGAAAGGAAAGAGAGGGAGGGAAAGGTTAACGGTTAACAAATTTATTGACAAAGCTTGGAGTACAGTTTGCCTATTCTGAGTAATTCAGTCAGATCTTGACACTGAGGGGGGTATCACTTCTCACTGCCACACACGGAAATAGATCATATTCATTAACAGTATACCTAGCTCAGAGTCATGTGGGTGATATCACACTCACTGCCACGCTGGACAGTCGTTCATTTATAGAAGAAGTAAATTTCTGTTTGAGGATTAATCAGTGTGGGCGAGCAGCAAATTTTGGATAAACAAAAAGAATGTCCTCAAGCACTCCTGATTCAATGTAGTAATTACATAGTTTATGATGCAATAAGCCAGGTAGCCTGAAGTATTTGACAGTGTCACATTCAATAATATAGTGTTCAAGTGTATGCTTTAAAGGTTTATCACAAAGTTTACATGCTGAGTGTTCCGGTATGGGTACAGTGTTACTAACTTGCCAGATGTGTCTGTATCCTAGTCTAATTCTGGCCACGACTACATCACATTGTCTGGTTCTGTCCTTATGCTGGCCATACCGGTACCTCTTGTCACAAAATTTGTCATATTTACTAATGCTATAACTGCCAGGTCTCTCGGCATTTCTCAGTTCTTCTAGATCAGAGTTCATGATTCTGACTTGAATGTTTTTAAGTACAGCATTGGACAGGCCAAGGTCACGGTCAACATTTTCTTTCTTACATGCCTCATTAGCCAGTCTATGAGCACCGTCATGATACCTAATACCAACATGGGACGGAATACACACAAATTTAATACGAAAATTGTTCTTCGCAGTTAGCACATTTCTTTTAAAATCAGAGACAACTTTATACATAGAGCCTGACGGTCTGTTCATTGATTTTAATGCACTAAGTAGATTCCCATTAGTTCAGTTTGTGTTGTGCTGCCCCAGTTGTTCAGCCTTTGCATGTTTGACACAATCATCTCATTTTCTTTATCGAGGAAAAGGGAGAGAGAGAGAGAGAGAGAGAGAGAGAGAGAGAGAGAGAGAGAGAGAGAGAGAGGTATAAATTAATATAGAATGAAGGTAGAGAAAGAGAGACGGAGAGAAAAAAATAGAGAAAAGACATTGAAAACGATCTGATTTAGGTAATAATAATAATAATAATAATAATAATAATAATAATAATAATAATAATAATAATAATAATAATAATAATAATAATAATAATACTATTATTACTACTACTACTACTACTACTACTACTACTACTACTAATAATAATAATAATAACAATAATATTATTATTATTATTATTATTATTATTATTATTATTATTATTATTATTATTATTATTATGAATACCTTTCTTATTTCAATATTACTTCTGTACTACTACTACTGTACTAGTTTTCGTATACATATTCCCAGTCAAAAACACTTATAAAACACTAGAACCTTGTGATGGGCGATAAAACTGTCATTAATCAGTTGCCTGTGTTCCCGGCAACTATAAGGGCATGGTTCACTCTCTCATATATTCATAAAGGATGAAACTTGCCTGGATAAACCATTTTTCCTACCATGTTGGACATACTTCACAGTTGCCCCGCGCCGCCACATTGCTTACAGTATATCGGAAGTTTGTCTACATCCCGACTGATGGAAGTGGTGAAGTTACCAAGTATCTTCATATGAATATTTGTGAATTCATAACCACCGACTAACGCAATTTTCAAACTTCGTATCAAATTTACTGGGATATTCTGAGAGTCATGTGTGAAATATTTGCCAAAATAATATTATTCATAGCTCTGGACCGTAAGCTTAATGCCAGAAGCGAACAAATACATATCATACTGACGCATATTTCAACCTACAATTCGGAAAATTGTAAGAAATGGCAACCTAACGTGAATTAAAATTTCGTAAACAGTATATTCATTCTTGTTTTCATGCGGGGATAGAATATAAAACATAAGATAATTAGAAGTTGAAATACAGAAAATGAAATACTGTATATGGTAACAGTTTCCATGAATTCTGATCTGGTGAAGAAATATTTTAGTCTGTGATTGTCTAAAATTTACTTCTTGGCGAATACGAATGATGACTGACTCCCGCACCTGCTGTGGTGATGTCAGTGATGTGTGTCAGTCACGAGAAGTGTCTCAGTGTGTCAGTTCACACTCCATCACTCCATGTTCTACATATTGCTAAAATATAAAAGATTGTATAATAGAATAAATATTTTTTAAATAAAGAAAAATGTGTAGTTTAAAGAAGGAGATGACTGGGAAGACATATTATAACAGTTAAGGAACAATGATCTCAATTTTCCGTGAACGATAATTTCTTTCCCGGTGTCTAAAGTCTTTTGAGCAGAGAGAGAGAGAGAGAGAGAGAGAGAGAGTACTGGGATCTCGTAAATAAATGTAACAAAAAACCTGTACAATATATAAAGAGTGGGGGTGCTAGATGACAATATCAACTCAGGGTTCAGGGGAAATGATCCTATGGATGGAAAGGTATACATGGAGAGAGAGAGATATATATATATACATGAATGGAGAAATAGTGTACATAGATGGATACATTTATACATGAATGGATAGTTTTTTATAGATAGAAAGATACATGTATAGAGATATAAGAATTCTTCATCCCCATGTTGGGCGTTGCTGTCAAGAGGCTGAGGCGGCAAGAATACTGGAAATCTAATATCCAAATGGAGCTTCCACGACCACCTCCCTCTCCCCCTCTCTCTCTACGACCACCTTCAGCTGACTCTTTCTCAGTACGACCACCTCCAGTTGACCTTCAGGTTCTGTATGACCACCTAGCTGACTCTTTCCTTTTTTCTTTCCCTCTCTCTGTACGACCACCTCCTCTCTCTCTGCACGACCACCTCAAGCTGACTCTCTGGTACGACCAATTTCCAGCTGACTCTCTCTCTGTACAACGACCTCCTGTTGACCTCTATATTGACCACCCACCTGACTCTTCTCTGCATGACTACCTCCTGACTTTCTTCTACGATCACTCTCTCTGTACGACTACCTCCTGTTGACCTCTTTCTTCTCTCTGCACGATCACCCCCTGTTGTTAATCTTCATCCTCTCTTTCTGCAAGATCACCTCCCGTTAGACTCTCTTTCTTTCTCTCTCTGTACGACTACCTCCTGTTGTTGACCTCTCTCTCTCTCTCTCTCTTGTACGACTACCTCCTGCCGACCTCTCTCTCTATCTCTCCAGCCAGCGTGTCAGCACAACAACAAACTTTAAGCACAACAACAGACTGTCAGTACAACAACAGGCTGTCAGCACATCAACAGGCTGTCAGCACAAGAACAGACTGTCAGCACAGCACACTGTCAGAACAACAACAGACTGTCAGCAAAACAACAGACTGTCAGAACAACAACAGATGGTCAGAACAACAACAGACTGTCAGCACAACAACACTGTTAGAACAACAACAGACTGTCAGAACAACAATAGACTGTCAGAACAACAACAGACTGGCAGAACAACAACAGACTGTCAGAACAACAATGGACTGTCAGTACAGCAACAGACTGTCAGCACAACAATAGGCTGTCAGCACAACAACAGGCTGTCAGCACAACAGCACTTTCAGAACATCAATAGACTGTCAGCACAACAACACTGTCAGAACAACAACAGGCTGTCAGCATAATAACAGACTGACAGAACAACAACACTGTCAGGACACCAACAGACTCAGCACAACGACAGACTGTCAGAACAACAACAGACTGTCAGCACCACAACAGACTGTCAGTACCACAACAGACTGTCAGTACAACAACAGACTGTCAGCACCACAACAGACTGTCAGAACAACAACAGACTGTCAACACCACAACAGACTTTCAGCACCACAACTGACTGTCAGCACCACAACAGACTGTCAGCACCACAACTGACAGTCAGCACCACAGCAGACTGTCAGCACCACAACAGACAGTCAGCACCACAACAGACTTTCAGCACCACAACAGACTGTCAGAACAACAACAGACTGTCAACACCACAACAGACTTTCAGCACCACAACTGACAGTCAGCACCACAGCAGACTGTCAGCACCACAACAGACAGTCAGCACCACAACAGACTTTCAGCACCACAACAGACAGTCAGCACCACAACAGACTGTTAGCACAACCACTGACTGTCAAGGCAACAGGCACAACTTCTCTCCCTCCTGATATTTTTCCGCTTAAAATAAATGCAAGTTTTTTGTTGGCGCTAGGAAGAGAGAGAGAGAGAGAGAGAGAGAGAGAGAGAGAGAGAGAGAGAGAGAGAGAGAGAGAGAGAGAGAGAGAGAGAGAGAGAGGAAACATATGGAAGAAATATAAATGGTAGATAAATAGAGAGAGAGAGAGAGAGAGAGAGAGAGAGAGAGAGAGAGAGAGAGAGAGAGAGAGTTGACCCAGAAACTGTTTGTATTGATTCCATCTTGCCAGTGAAATTTAAACCGGGCTTTCCTCCCTTCCTCTTCCTTCTTGTTTCTCTTAACGTGTCACTTTCTCTCCTCCCATCCAACTACCTTGTTCTCTCTCTGCCGTCAATCTCTCTTAATGTGTCTGTTTCCTCTTTTGCCATTTTCTCTTATGATCTTTATCTTCTTCTCTCTATTTCTCTTTTACTTTATCTTTTCTGTATTTGTTTATTTTTTTTCTCTTTCGCTCTCATCCTTAGTATCTTCTATGTTTCCATATCTCTGTCTCTCTCTCTTTCTCTCTGTCTGTCTCACTCACATTTTTTCTCTCTCTTTCCATCTTTCATTATTTTTACTTTCCTCTCTCTCTGTTCCTTTTGATAAACTGGAAGGAAATTCTTACGACGCGGGAGAAAGGAAACGCAACTCTCGAATAGAAAACTTAGGCCAGGACCGCTTTCTTTTCCTGACCTCCGTAGAAAATACTGATAAGTTTTTGCTCGAAGAAAGTTTCTGGTGAGAAAGTTGCTTGATAGACTCGTCTTGGTGTTGAAGGAAAAGAGAAAGAAAATTACGTCTTTAGCTCGTCTTTTATTTTCGTTTTTTTTATAGAAATTTTCCTTTTGTATCAATTATAACCAAATATTCATACATCCCTAGAGAGTGTCGTGAGCCTCACTAGCCTTTTGTCCTGGGAGGAAAACTAACCCCAGGGTAGAGTATGGTAAGAGGACTCTACGGGAGATCACTGCAATAACAACAAACAAAATTTCAGATTGAAGCGTTTCTGTAGTGCGTTGCTTTATGGTATTTAAGAGCAAGTTGTTCATATATATTTTCCTAATAAAGATTAAGTCATAAGCAATGATGGAAAATGGTACTACAAGAACTCAAGTTAGAATTAACGTATAAGTATCCAGGCAGGCATGATAAATAAAGCACTACAGTATATATATACCTGAAGGGTCTAAGGTAGTGGTGTCAAACTCCAAACCTTTCGAAAGCCAATTTTTATTTTAGTTCCCCTCTTCAGGGCCAACACAAGTGTTATATCACATATTTGCAGGATTAAGGTTTACAGCTTCACACATTGCCTTACCTGGCTTACCGGGAATACCTCATTTGGGTTTGTTTGATCATAAGTCTGTAAAATTCACTTTACTTAATAAAAATGATTATATCTATTTCTATCATAATTTCACGGGATGATAATTTTTACCGTCATCCCGCGGGCCACACCTGACCATCTCAAGGGCCACATTTGGCCCGCGGGCCATGATTGTGACGCCCCTGGCCTAAGGTTAGGATATAAAGAACAAGCAAGGTACTTTTAAAGGACAACCTATATTAGAACACCGGCACAAACAAGTATAGAATTAAATATAAAGGTTACCTTATCTACTAATAGTGCCTCCAATAACACCTGAATCCCAACCTAGCTTCCTAGACTGGCATAGATTCTAGTACCACTTGGGAACAAGAGAGATGGACCCCTGGGACGTCCTTTCTCCACGATGTCGGAACTGGAGTTAGACCGGCTGAGCAGCTTCACCAAGGAAAGCTTGACCAATCATACAGTGAATACCTACCGCGCATGCGTTGTTTGGTAATGTACTGTATACATCACTTACTAAAAAAACTATCCACTTTAGACAATAATAATAATGATAATCATAATATAATAATTGCATTGACAATAATAGTAAAATACTGAAGGATGTAGTGAGATATTTTATACTAAGACAAAAAACTAACGTGATGAAAATAGTGACCAGCACAACCCTGGGTACTACTGTAAGGGTATCATAGGCACGTGACGAGAGAGAGAGAGAGAGAGAGAGAGAGAGAGAGAGAGAGAGAGAGAGAGAGAGTGTGTGTGTATGTTATGACCAAGTACCTGTACACACACTCATATCTCAGGGGTTGCCACACAAACAATGTAATATTCATGACGCTGAATTATTACTTCCGTGGCCACCAAACTGTATGTGGGAGTAGCTAATAGTCGCTAGTACTCGCTCGTACTCGCCAACAATCACTAGTACTCGTTATTAATCGCTAGTATTTCCTAGTACCCGCCAAGAGTCACTAGTAGGTGTTATAATCACTCATTGATTAACTCCCTCAGAGAACTCTTTGTTGGTCAGCTGTCTGATAGTGCCAGACGTATGACACTTATTGTAGCTTAATTTTAATGTTTTGTTCACTTTTTCATTACAGCTGTAAATAAAAAGTATTCAGTAACCCGTACACTATCTTAAAGCTCTTATTTACTGACCTGATATTACTGACAACGGTTAGTGCGGTTGAGACACGTAACTGCTGAAGTAGAAAAAAAAACCATCTTGTCCTTTTCTTTCCTCTGCTCCTCTGGCGATCTTCTGAACGTGATATCTTGAACGAAAAACTGAACTTTGATTAAAACTTGGTGTGTGCAGCACGAGAGTTGGGTAAGCAGTGTTTTTCCTGGACATTCTTTTTTTCCGGGAAGGACAGGAGGGGGGGGGGGGCACTGATGGCCCGTCGTATCTTCATGGTATCAAAGGATCATGAACCATTTTTAATAGCTGATGGCTACTATATTGATTGAAGATAGTTCAATAAATCACCCCTTCCTTCACCCACCAACAGGAAGGCCTTGTTAGTGATGGGTTCTATTCCTTGTTATTTTGTATGTAATAATTTGTTCCATAAGTTACATGTTATTCTGTAAACTGTAATGTGATATGAAAATAAATAAATAAATAAAAATAAATAAATAAATAAACAAATAAATAAGTAAATAAATAGATACAGCTTGTTTGTTTCAGTAAAAGTTTGTTCAGTTGTTGTTATTCTGTAAAATACAATATAGCCTTAACCTATTGTAGTGTGAGTTACGGTGTATTTTACACATACTATTTTTAAAGATAAATTTATTCTTCACAATATATTCAGTATTTTGTATCTCTCTTGTCGTTCTGCAAGTTGCAATATATTCTCTGTTAGACATTCACAAAAGTTAAGCTGCAATACATTCAATTAATCCCTGAAACGACTGAAGGAATCTCAAGAATGAATAGACATCAAAGAGACAGAAAGAATTTTACCCAGAGATCGTTTTCTACATCTGTGAGACCCATGAGAGATTATATTCTTCTTAAGGGGTAACTTTAAAACTTGGGCGAGACTTAACTTGTCATGTCTTGCGGGAGGCTGAAGAAAATAATGTGCTGAGAAGGCAAAAATGTTGGAGCTATTATTAAATTCCTTGCTCGTTTGTGTGTCACATGGCCGTGTGTATGTTCGTGTGTTCGTTTGTTTGTTTGTTTGTTTGTTTGTTTGATTGCTTGATGAGGCACATTTTTAGACGATTTTTCTCTCTGTCACTCATTCTTAATCTCTCTCTCTCTCTCTCTCTCTCTCTCTCTCTCTCTCTCTCTCTCTCATCACACCACCACCAGGGAGGAAGGTAAGTCGGGTAACTTTCGAAAAACATAAAAAATATGGCGCTGTTGTTTACTTTCTCTTTGTATCATTCTTAAGTGCGTGTTTGGTTGACTGTTCTGTCCACAACTCCATCAGTCCAAGACCCCATCATTCCAGACTTCATCAATCCACAACCTCATCAGTCCGTGACTCCATCAGTCCATGACCCCATCAGTTCACGACCCCATCAGTCCACGACCCCATCAGTCCACGACCCCATCAGTTCACGACCCCATCAGTTCACGACCCCATCAGTCCACGACTTCATCAATGCCCCATCCCAGACCCATCAGTCCATGACCCCATCAGTTCACGACCCCATCAGTCCACGACCCCATCAGTCCACGACCCCATCAGTCCACACCTCATCAATCCACAACCCCATGAGTCCACGACCTCATCAGTCCATGACCCCATCAGTCCATGACCCCATGAGTTCACGACCCCATCAGTCCCGACCAGTCCACGACCATCAATCCACAACCCCATGAGTCCACGACCCCATCAGTCCACGACCCCACCAGTCCACGACCTCATCAGTCCAGAACACCATCAGTCCACGACCCATCAGTCCACGACCCCATCAGTCCATGACCTCATCAGTCCATGACATCATCAGTCCACGACCCATCAGTCCACGACCCCATCAGTCCATGACCTCATCAGTCCATGACATCATCAGTCCACGACCCACCAGTCCACGACCCATCAGTCCACGACCCCATCAGTCCACGACCCCATCAGTCCATGACCTCATCAGTCCATGACCCCATCAGTCCACGACCCTATCAGTCTACCACCCCATCAGTTCATGACCCCATGAGCCCATGATCCCATCAGTCCATGACTCCACCAGTTCATGACCCCATCAGTCCACGACTCCTTCAGTCCACGACCTCATCAGTTCACGACCCTATCATCAGTTCACGACCCCATCAGTCCATGACCCCATCAGTCTACGACCCCATCAGTCCACGACCCTATTAACCTCTGATCCTATCAGTTCACGACTCCCTCCCGTCCATGACCCCTTCAGGCTAAGACCCTTTCTGTCCACGACCCCATGAGTCTACGACCCCTTCAGTCCACGACCCCATCAGTGCATGACCCCATCTCTCCACGATCCCATCTCTCCATGACCCCATCACCAGTGGTGGGCAAATTACTAACACTTTGCAATCGAGTTAAGATAAAATTACTTGTCGAAAATAGTAAATCGATTAGAAGTAAAATTACTGATGTCTGAAAAGTAATTAAAATTAATTAAAAGTAATTATTTATTGCTCTTTAATGTTTTTGTTTTTTTACCAAATAACACAAATATGAAGAACTGATAATTTAATAACATCCTGAAAAATAATAAGTCGGACATCAAGTTTAAATAACACATTCAGGGTACAGTACAAGAAAAAAATGGAGCATATTCTGAGCTCACTCACAGAACTGAGAAAATAAAACAAAAATAAAATTCCTAACACTGTCTCTTAAACAGCGCTTCTCAGAACCACACAGCTGCCATCTTCTAGGTTCGTCTTTCAAGGTAATGGAAGGTCATAAGTATACTGGGTATCAAACACGAGGAAAATAATAAATTTACGTTAAGACTCACTGTTCAAGAAATAATAGCAATTCACTCAGTAGGCTATATTATATTACAACTAACTTCACCACTCAAAATTTTCTAGAGTTTAATGTCACCAACAACTGATGCTCAAAATTCTTGTCACTAATACGTGAACGACGGGGTACAAAAATTACTCCAGCATAAGTAAACATTCGCTTTCATACAGCGCTTGAAGGCAAATGCGTGTTTAATTCAAGAAATATTGGTTCTTCTCGAGCCAGTGAGCCACTTGCTGCCGGTAGCGTAGGAGGACAATTCCATATTCTCTGAGTCTAATATGTGCCCATGAAGGTAAGCTTTTACTGTGAATGTATAATAATTATATAAATATATAAATGTGGATTGGAAAATCTGACGCCCACCAGCTGAACAGTAATATCCAAACCACTAGTAAATAATTTTAACACTCCTTTATTATCAATAATAATCGAAGAATAAACAGCTTTGGAGCATAAATGAAAAATTAAAGAAAAAAAAAAATGTTCTTGTATACTGCTTAGTTATTTTACAAAAATAATGCATTAAAAAGTAGTTACTATTGCTAAATTTTTACTTGATTACAAGTAAAAAATATTTGTCTGGAAAAGTAGTTAATAACAATTACTAGAAAACCTACTTAGTTACTGTAATCGATTACAAATACTTCGTTACTTGCCCACCACTCCCTATCTATCTGTAACAGCCACGACGTGTCCTTCATGCGAGTTCTCTAAGAGTTATTTACACATTTTCTTGAGACACGTCAGCTCAGATACTCGTCCCTCTTAAAACCTCGAATAAATTAATAAACATTAACTGATTGAAGACTCACTTAAATTTGTCGGCAGTAGTTTTATTATAACGAAAATTACTCCCAACAGCGTCGGTTTATGGCTGAAGCTGTTCGGGAGTATATCTTGTGTTCGAGTTTACGTAAGATGTAAACATGTGGCGTCTAGTTGATTGACGGATGTTTACGTAATGCTTATTTCACCTAACCTAACCTAACCTAACCTAACCTAACCTAACGCTACCGAACATAACCTGATCTACCTTCCCTCCAGGAAGCGGTTAGTGTTTATTTTCAGGTGATCTTTCTTAAAATACCTCCTTTAAGTTTCCCCTACAAAATGTTACATGTAATTACAGTAGAGTCATAGAGAGTATTTTCGATGCTCTAGTTGTTGTCGTGGCTTCAGTGAAACAGTTTAGATGATCCTCTGAGAATCCAACCTTTTCAGCCATTTGGATTCATTCTCACATTTTCATTTAGAGGTGAAGAAAAAGAAGAAATCGCACAAGAACCCTTTGAGAATCCACCTTTGTGATGTATTAATTAGTTGCATTCAGGGGGTAAAAATTAAGGTAGGAACCTTTGAGTCAACGAAATGTAAAGATACACACACACACACACGCACGCATACACATTCATCACCGGAAATAAAATTTAGATTTAATTTATTTCATATTTTTTTGTGTGTTCAAGAGATCGCTAATCGAGTCTGAATAATTGTTACCCGTCACTATTGGAACTCTTCTTTCATTCCCGTGGACGAGTGTGCAGTCTCTTAAAAAGTCGTCAACACTTCAGATAAATTAGCGAGCGAGTGTTAAAACCTTTTTCTGTAAGTTTAAATTGTGTGTTTTAAGAGAAATTTAAGTCGCCAAAATAGTTTAAATCAAGTGTTTTAAGAGAACATAACGTTTGAAGACAGTTTTAATGAGTAATTTAAAAAGAAAAAAAAAAAACCTCGGGGAGGGAGGAAGTCTTCATGGTATAAATGACTGTTGGATTAAGCTGGTAAGTTTTAACGAGTATGAAATGAGGTTCTCGGATTGACGTTGTTTTTAATGAAGAAATTTGTCGACGCCTCTCTCAAACCCGCCATTGCATTTGCTTTGAGACCGTGGAGAGAGAGAGAGAGAGAGAGAGAGAGAGAGAGAGAGAGAGAGAGAGAGAGAGAGAGAAGTTTGAAATAAAATGAAAAGTCTAAAGAAATTCTAAATACGTACAGTTTTGGACGAAGATTCTCACTACAGTCTAGGTGGATGTTGTGAAGTCCACCCACCCTTACTGGACGGGTCCGCTGTCCAGCCATTGCCTTCCTCCCTCCCTACACTAACACACACACACACACACACACACACACCCTCGCAATTCAACAATCGAGCTCTGATAATTCCATTTCTCAATAAGGACGAGGGAATGATGTTATTGTTTTGTTAATGAATTCACAAAACAATTAATCAATCAAGTTGTACATTATTTGACATAATACGTTACATCTTTATAAAATAATCATGACATAGTACAGAGTGTGTTTTGGTGGCTGGGGTTCACAATGATATCAGAATCCTCCAGGCTGCATTGTCCCTCAGAATGGTTGCCGGAAAACTAAGCATGAATGTGAGGAATAATATGGTCCATGAGAATGTTTTATCAGCCTCCATGATAATGGCTTTATCTTAGGGTCTGATGAATGCAACCTTGACTTGATCTGTACAAAGGAGGACATGATGGGAGTATGACTGACTTATAAGCGACACAATATTAAAGTGTGTTATAACAAGAAGTAGATCACAACAATGATTGATTAGTGTTTGATGGAAAATAAGATAAAAGTAGCCAGACCATATTTTATTATTAGTTATACTCGTACAGGTAACCATAAATGTTGCTTATTTAATATTATAAACAGTACACTCAATATCTTTGGAGATAAATTTACAGTTAAAAAAATAAAACAATGATTCAAACAATCTATTCCTTCAATAGCCAGTCCAACCATCCTGGTTTTCAATGGCGGCCTGTTTTATTTTTTAAGTATTAATGCGACGGTAGGATATATAGAATAAATTTAAAATTCAATTCACTGTGATTTATTTTTCTCTTCACTTACAGATTTTTTTGGAGGGTGTGTCCTTTTCTGGCTCTTGTTTTCTCTTTAGGGACGGAACCTTTTCATTGGTGTTTTGATTTTTTGTTATACGAGAAATTAATCTTTCCAAGGTAGGCCTCATATCAGGGTCCTCATTTTCTGCGTCTGCAATCCACCTTTTTATATGTGCTGGTAGTTTATTTTCGCCTTTGATGAAATTGAATAATTTTGCCAAACTGTATATGTCGGAATTTTCACTAACTTTCCCTCCCCTAACGACTTCTGGCGCCATCCAAAATAGTTGGCGTATTTTTTCTAAGGGTATGGAAGATTTATAAACTTTTTCACCGAGTTTGGTTCCTAATCCAAAATCAATTAACGTAACCTTAACGTCGTCTTCTTTGGTTATAATGCAGATATTGTCAGCTTTGATATCGTTGTGAGCCAACCCTCGTGATATCATCTGTTCTGTGATTTTCGCCAGTTGTAATATAATGGATTCCAGTTTATCCAAACCTAGGTTATGTTTGTTGATGTATTGGTCTAACGGTTCGCCTGCATACTCAGTCATAATCAGTGTTTTTTCCAAATAAGCTCCCACTAGCTTTTGAGTTCCTGGGATATCTTGCACCTTTTCTAAGTGCTTAATCTCGTCATATATATGAGCGTAGATATTTTCTCCTTGGCAAATTTTAATAACATAATCTGTTGTATCACCAGACACGCGAAAACACTGCCCGAGTGTCCCTGAGCCAATCTTTTCGCCTTTGTCCCCTTTTTTATAGATGGTCCTCATTTCTTTTGAGCTCTGGAAAAGGCGAATACCTTTCCCTTCGCAGAACTTGATAAGGTTGGAGAGTTTACAAGAATCCGCTTCCATTTTTAAATACAGATAAAAACAATACTGTAATTCATAGCATCAAAATGGACCTCAATGATGACTTTTCTCCTTCAGTTTTTTGTAGTAAGAGGTCTATCATAACCTGACCCACACATGTGCAAATATAAGCCACATATGTTTATAGCGAAGGTCAACACCATGATGTGTGTAGCGAAGATCAACACCATGAATGAAGTGAAGATCAACACCATGAATGAAGTGAAGATCAACACCATGTTTATAGTGAAGATCAACACCATAACTGTTAATAGTGAAGATTAATACCATGAATGTTAATAGTGAAGATCAACACCAGGAATGTTAATAGTGAAGATCAACACCAGGAATGTTAATAGTCAAGATTAATACCATGAATGTTAATAGTGAAGATCAACACCATGAATGTTAATAGTGAAGATCAACACCATGAATGTAGTGAAGATCAACACCATGAATGTAGTGAAGATCAACACCATGTTTATAGTGAAGATCAACACCATGAATGTTTGTAGTGAAGATCAAAACCATGAATGTTAATAGTGAAGATCAACACCATGAATGAAGTGAAGATCAACACCATGTTTATAGTGAAGATCAACACCATGACTGTTAATAGTGAAGATTAATACCATGAATGTTAATAGTGAAGATCAACACCAGGAATGTTAATAGTGAAGATCAACACCAGGAATGTTAATACTCAAGATTAATACCATGAATGTTAATAGTCAAGATCAACACCATGAATGTTAATAGTGAAGATCAACACCATGAATGTAGTGAAGATCAACACCATGAATGTAGTGAAGATCAACACCATGTTTATAGTGAAGATCAACACCATGACTGTTAATAGTGAAGATTAATACCATGAATGTTAATAGTGAAGATCAGCACCAGGAATGTTAATAGTGAAGATCAACACCAGGAATGTTAATAGTCAAGATTAATACCATGAATGTTAATAGTGAAGATCAACACCATGAATGTTAATAGTGAAGATCAACACCATGAATGTAGTGAAGATCAACACCATGAATGTAGTGAAGATCAACACCATGTTTATAGTGAAGATCAACACCATGAATGTTTGTAGTGAAGATCAAAACCATGAATGTTAATAGTGAAGATCACCATGAATGAAGTGAAGATCAACACCATGTTTATAGTGAAGATCAACACCATGACTGTTAATAGTGAAGATTAATACCATGAATGTTAATAGTGAAGATCAACACCAGGAATGTTAATAGTGAAGATCAACACCAGGAATGTTAATAGTCAAGATTAATACCATGAATGTTAATAGTGAAGATCAACACCATGAATGTTAATAGTGAAGATCAACACCAGGAATGTTAATAGTGAAGATCAACACCAGGAATGTTAATAGTGAAGATCAACACCGTGAATGTTAATAGTGAAGATCAACACCATGAATGTTAATAGTGAAGATCAACACCAGGAATGTTAATAGTGAAGATCAACACCATGAATGTTAATAGTCAAGATTAATACCATGAATGATAATAGTGAAGATCAACACCAGGAATGTTAATAGTGAAGATCAACACCATGAATGTTAATAGTCAAGATTAATACCATGAATGTTAATAGTCAAGATCAACACCATGAATGTTAATAATGAAGATCAACACCATGAATGTTAATAGTGAAGATCAACACCATGAATGTTAATAGTGAAGATCAACACCATGAATGTTAATAGTGAAGATTAATACCATGAATGTTAATAGTGAAGATTAATACCATGAATGTTAATAGTGAAGATCAACACCAGGAATGTTAATAGTGAAGATCAACACCATGAATGTTAATAGTCAAGATTAATACCATGAATGTTAATAGTGAAGATTAATACCAGGAATGTTAATAGTGAAGATCAACACCATGAATGTTAATAGTGAAGATCAACACCAGGAATGTTAATAGTGAAGATCAACACCATGAATGTTAATAGTGAAGATCAACACCAGGACTGTTAATAGTGAAGATCAACACCATGAATGTTAATAGTGAAGATTAATACCATGAATGTTAATAGTGAAGATCAACACCATGAATGTTAATAGTGAAGATCAACACCATGAATGTTAATAGTGAAGATCAACACCATGAATGTTAATAGTCAAGATTAATACCATGAATGTTAATAGTGAAGATTAATACCATGAATGTTAATAGTGAAGATCAACACCAGGAATGTTAATAGTGAAGATCAACACCATGAATGTTAATAGTCAAGATTAATACCATGAATGTTAATAGTGAAGATTAATACCAGGAATGTTAATAGTGAAGATCAACACCATGAATGTTAATAGTGAAGATCAACACCAGGAATGTTAATAGTGAAGATCAACACCATGAATGTTAATAGTGAAGATCAACACCAGGACTGTTAATAGTGAAGATCAACACCATGAATGTTAATAGTGAAGATTAATACCATGAATGTTAATAGTGAAGATCAACACCATGAATGTTAATAGTGAAGATCAACACCAGGAATGTTAATAGTGAAGATCAACACCATGAATGTTAATAGTGAAGATCAACACCAGGAATGTTAATAGTGAAGAGTTAGGAAACTGTGTTTCACTAATGTAAGACAGAAGTTTAAGCTTATTAGAGACAATGTGAAGGCTGCTCATATTGATATTCAGTAAAAATGGTATGGGTACTAGTTCAGAAGTAATGTTTGATACAAATGCAAGATGATGGTCAGTAGGCAAGGTTATGGTTGCATTACTACTGAGCTCACAATAGTCTGGTGCCATATGATAGCCTTCGACTACTAAATGTTTACCTACAACCTGACATATAATTATTACACAGTTTACTTTGGAAAATAAAAATATCTCACATTATTGACATGCACGTGCAACACTAACCTATGAGGTATTGGAGTGTATTCACATTGCTGCAGAGCTGTAGAAGCATTAGCTTGTACGTTGACTTACAATAATTTAGGACTTAATGCTGAGTCACAGCAACTAGCGAAAAATCTTCTGAAACCACTATTAGTTCAGTTTCTCTGTTAAGAACCTAAAGATTCGCATTCAATGGAAATGGTTCCAAATGTCATGCATTAAACTTCTTTTGTGATTTTAATGTAATGTGTATTAGTATATTCTCATGCGTTAAGGATGCCGCCAATAAGGGTAATAATATTCCACGTAATGCTCCTGAAAGATAGGAGTTGGGTGATAGTCAGTTACAGCTATATGTAGAGCGGCAATAAGTTGACCAACCGGCAACAGTTGTGCATCTACACGACCCAAACCTTCATTCACTAAATCAGCTATGAGTCTATCATTGGTAACTGTGAGAGCTTGCACAGAGGCTTCATCTCTGAGTGCCACCAGAAGTGTCATATGTACATAGGTTATGTAATCCGATGTTATATTTGTAGCTGTGGCATTTATTGGAAGTGTTGGTGTGATTTCAATAGAAAGTATTCAGATTTTCACTTGAAGTATTTTTCTAACTATTGAAATTATTTTTTTATATAACCCGAGTTGAGTGTTATATGAATGTTTTATATGTGTATGTTATTATTTTTCTTTTGCTATTGACCTAAATTGTAGACTGACTAGAAAGAGTTTTAGTTCTCAGTTGGAGTCAATTTGTGACAATTGAATTTACTGATATAACACAAATTTAAAGTTAAATTTTTCTGTGTGGTATTTTTTTGTAATGTGTTTCTTGTAGATGATAATTTGATTACATACTGGATTACAATTTCTTAGTGTAGATTGATATGCATTGTTAGTACAGGTGTTATATGTATTTGAGAACTTATTCTGGTGTATTTTCAGCAATAGTTTGATTGGGTTGAGGACTCTGTGGTGATATGGACATCTATAAGAACGCAATCTCTGAAAATGGATTGTTGGAAACACCCTCTGTACATGTAAAGACCACCAGTTGTGATTAAAACACAGAGCAAATTGTGAAGTGATAAGACAGGGCTAAGATAATTGAAAGAGACAGTAACTACTTGTTGAGTACAGAAAATCTGCTTTTGTGTTTGTCATTCGTGAAATCTAAAGAGTTATATTTTCTTGAGACATTCTTTTCAAGTACATATCATCAATTATTTTTTGACCCTTACTCTGAATACCTTGTAGATTGAAAGTGTGTAGTGTTCTCTTTAGAGATACGTAATTTTCTAGGTGACAGTCTTCTATACCATTATCGATTATTTTTATGATTATCCATTTAAGAAGTATCCTGCGCATTTTGGTGATAATGTTTACCCCTTTTGCTCTTGAAGGGTGTTAACTGAATTTCTCTGGGTGCAGTTGCGTGAAGTTTTGTGGTGACATCAAGGCATGATGATCACAGTAGTTGTTAATAAGTTGCAACTTGTGTGTGAGTTCCGAGAAGTTACCAAAGCCACGGAGGCAAGTATTCAGCAGTGAAGAATGCTGAAGGCTCAGAGAAGTAGGGACAAAAATCATGTTTAGAGATTTTCCGTCAGGATCAGAACCTGATGAAGGGAAAACTGCCGGCGAGGCTGAGGAAGCAAGTTGGTAAGTCAATGGGGGTGGTAGATCGTTTTAATTTCAGTTTATCCAGGCGTTTTGCTACTTCAAATTCTTCTACTAAGTCAGTGGGAAGGGGGGCTGGTCGGTAAGCAGGGAGAGTGGTTGTGTCAAGCCGGGGGAGCGTCTGGCAATAGTAGCGAAATGGTAGGCCTGGTTGTGCGTAGGAGGTATTTGTGCTGGACTTTTGTAACGACTAGGCGTGTAGTTACATGGACCTAGTGCAGTTTAAAGCGCTTGTATGGCGAAGTAACTGAAGGGCACTGGATTTGTGGGGTTTCATGTGGACCGGGTCGCCGGCACTATAGTCTATTTGCGTCCATGTAAGCTCCGGCCTCTTAGATCTTGCCTCGTCTCGTGAGTGAAGAATGATTTTTTTGTGATAAGGTCAACCCGAATAATTCAGTGGCTGGATGAGGTCAGTTCATA